ACAATTAAATTCTGATGCCATAATTATGTCAAAGTAACTCAGTTTTTTGGAAGTGATGTCACCAAAGCTTCTACCAATACCAGAAATAAGAAGAAAGGGTAAATATGAAATATAATCAAATGAGGGAAAAAAATATATCTAAGAGAAGATTATAATTAATTAACTAACTAACCAATAACTGGATTTTAAATTGAAGTAACAATTCTATTGGAAGATGTCTAGTTAAATAAGTTTTTAAAAAGATGAAACTAGAAAATTCAAAATCAAATCAAATACATAATATATATATATGGGAACCTACTATAGTTGTATTTTGTATAACACTAAAATTTCAATCATTCAATATTATCAAATGACATGGTGACATTCATATATTAAACCCTATAAACAAAATGCTATAGTTCATAGAATAGTCTGAAAGAAAGATTACTATCCATCTAAGAATTTATAGCTATTTAAAGAAATCCATTAGGTCAATAATGATGTGAGATATGATTTTAATGATTCAGTATAGCATAAAACATCTAATCATAAAATGATAAATCAGGAAAGACAATATTCTATCTGACAAAATGTGGAAATCTAAGTTTTTTAAAACTTCATTTAATTCTAATTATTTATTTTTTCCTTCTCTTAGTAAGAATTCTCAAAGAAGTATCATTTAGTAATGATTTTAACTCAATGATTATGTTTAAAATGTAATGATGATTACATGAGAAATATTAACGGAAAGGAACACTATTAAATATGCATTTACAGAGAAAGTATTTTACTCAATTAAACATACAAGAGGAACATTTTTATCAGACAACAACTACTTTTGTCTGACCTAAGTAAATGATTTCCTAATGATAGTCATCAAGTCTCATAAACCTTAGTCTTGGTCCATAAGGGTTTTTTTCTTATTTACACTAATACAACATTTATCAAGGGTCAAATTTATAATAGCTATTCTATAAATGAGGTCAAGGCAGGTCAGACTTATATAATAAGGGGGTGAGGGAGAGGTTGCTTTTTTGCAGTAAAAGGAAAAACACTGTTACTATTCTTCCTGTCCTTTGGGAATAAGTCCACCAGTCAACCAGTTCTACTTACTTCACAAATCTAATTTTTACATAAACACAATTAATCTTTTGATACTCAATCCACAGATTTAGAAAAATAACACTCTGAACTATTTCTTAAAAATAATATCCTATTCCCTATATTGATGATAAAAACTTTCTATCTATATTACTAATTTATTAACACCTAGTTTTGCTTCAATAAAAGTTTCATTTCAAATATCTGCTTAAAATATAAAAGCCCGGTACATTCTATAGGCTAAATGCCCTTTTGTAAAGATTAAGGGGGAAAAATCAGTTCCTAAACATGAAACAAAGCTCTACTGACTCAATGGTGAGTAGGTGTGCTACCAAACAAAAGGCACACAATTGGAACTCACCATTTGCTCCAGGAGAAAGACAAACCCTGTGCAATTTACTGGCTTTGAAACCCTGCTGGAGGGTCAGCTATGAGTCAGTCCCAACATAACAACAGTAACAGCAATCATGAGAGACCAATACATCAGGGTCTCTTGGGTAAGACAACCACAACAAATTAAAGAATGAAAATGAAAATTTTAGAAAATGTGTGTGTGTGTGTGTGTGTGTGTGTGTGTGTATACTTTACATGGCCTTGACTACAATTTTGCTAAAGTGTCAGCATTCTCTTACTCTGCTCTCTTCTATTTCCATTGATCTAGTTTCCCTTCTTTTCCATGCCTTTCTGTGTTCTTCAAAAAAGTAAAAATGCAGAATGGGCAGAGGGAGGGAGTGAAGGAATTAGGAACGATTCAGCAGGGACTGGAAAGAGCAGGGTAATACAATATATATGACTTTTGTGTGTAAATCAAAATGAAGTAAAACTAATTTAAAAAATTATACTCACTCCCTGTTACAGAAGGATCTGTGTTCTCCAAAAGTAAGCATTGTGAATAACGCCAGTCCCTGTATTTGTGTATGAGTCAGAATCGGGTTTATAATACATGTGGATATAAACTCAGTTGGAAATAAATTTTCTTTGTTATGTTAATGAAGCTATACTAGTGTGACAGAGACTTAAACCAACCACTTTTAAGTGATAAAAAGAATAATTAGGCATAGATATAAACTAGCACTATTGAAAGGACCAATGATACAACATGGAGCATTAAAAAAAGAGTAATTAGACAAGAATTTTTTTCTATAGATACACAGAATCTTTTTTCGTAGGTCCCTGCTTTCCTAGGTACTTGCTTACTAAACACTAAGAGTGACTAAAAGAAATTAAAAGGGGGGGGCGCTTAAATAAAGCAAACATTATGAAAACAGCACACAACAGAACCAACTCAAGGGCACCTAATGATGAGATGATACCTTTTTAATTCCAGCAAAACAAGTAAAAAAGGTTTATTAAGGTCATGCAAAGAAAGTATGGTTATTTAATGACAGAGACAGGCCATGTGAAAGAGTTAAAGAGGAAATGAAAGAAGAAAGGTGGGCAGGGCAATCCCTGGAAAGTGAAGGGCGAATCTAAACCTATTGACGTGTTACCAGCAAAAGGAGCAACAAGATGACTGTTGTTGTTATGTGCCATGGAGTCGCTTGCAACTCATAGAGACCATATGTATAAGAGCTCTAAATGCCGTTATATTCTGTGCCAACCTAGCCATCTCAAAAGCACTCATTCCCACCACTCCAGTTAAGAATTGACCCATCTCATCAAATGTCTTCTTCTCCTGCACCGCCCCTCCACTCTGCCAAACATGATGTCCCTATCCAAGGACCAGCCCCTCCTTGCAACATGCCCAAAGTATGTCAGACGAAGCTACAGAATCCTTGACTCCAAGGAGCATTCCGGCTTCACCTTTTCCAGAACAAACCTGTTTGTTCTTCTAGCAGTCCAGGTTATATTCAACACTCTTCTCCACCACCACAGCTCAAACACATCAATTATCTTTCTATCATCCGTAACAAGGTGATACTTCAAGAAAATATATGCTTGTTGAATCCATCTACTTGTAATATTTCTATTACAGTAGAACTAAGAAACTAAAACACTCTTTTCCACCTTTCTCATTAAAACACAAAACAAATTCATCCACTCCATCTTTTAGTTTTCTAGTAGAAGGGCTCAGCCAGCCTTCATGGTTATAACTAACAGTCTAACTAGCTCTATCATTCATAGGGTCTTCCAAGGCCAGATATTCCGAAGTAGATGACCAATTCATTTCCTAGTCTGCTTTAATCTGATGCTCCACCCGAACACAGCATCTGACAAACAAGCGTCATGCGAGAAACCACAAGAGAAGATGATAGACAGCTAAATATATACACAATCTAAGCTATTAAGAGTGGCAATACGCAAAACACTCCTCCAATACAAGAAACTGACAGATGAGTGATTCTCTTCCTAAAGGCAAACTATATGGACAAGCAAACATCCAAGTATCACGTTAGGGGAGTCATTTTTTCTCCATGCCTTTCCAATCTATATACTGAACAGATCCCTTAATAAGCTGGACTTCATAAACAAGAATGTGGCATCAAGCATCAGAGAATGACTCATCAACAACTTGTGTTATACTGAAAGTAAAGAGGACTTAAAGATCTTGCTGCAGAAGGTCAAGGATTACAGCCTTCAGTATTTCATCTCAACAAGAAAACAGAAATCCTTATTACTGGGCTAAATGGCAGCATCATGATGGACGAAGAAACGATTCAAGTAGTGAATGATTTCATCTTGCTCAGATCCATAATCAACAGGCTTGGCACCAACAGTCAGAAAATCAAAAGATGAGCTTCATTGAGAAAATCTACTATCAATAATCTCCCCAGAGTATTAAAGAGCAACAAATATCAGTATAATGACTCAGGTGCACCTGATCCAAGCCATGCTCCTCTCTTACAATGCATGTGTAAGCTAGACAGTAACTAAGATAACAGAAGAATTGAAATCAGCCTCTGAGGCACAGTTTTGGAGATTACTGAATATACCTTGGACTAACAAGAAGAAAGTGCAACTAGGGTGCCCCTCGGAAACAAAGATACTAAAACTCTGTATCCAATATTCTAAGCATGTAGTCAAGAATGACCAGTTATTGGAAAAGGAGGACATCATGCCTAGAAGGGTAGAAAGCTGGCATAAGAAAGGAAGACTTTGGACAAGATAGACTGAAACAATGACTGGTAATGGGTTAAATGTGTGAGAGATAGTGAGGTTGGCTAAAGATAGAACAGGGATCAGAGCAGTTTTTCATAGGGTCACTGTGAATCTTCATTGACTGGATGACACATAACAACAATAATCACCTTTTAGACAATCAGACACAAGACACAATACTGGCATTAAAGTCTAATTATTTCTTCTGTTAACAAAGCAGATACATTGATGGTGTAGTTAAATGTCTGACTGTTAACCAAAAAGTCAGAAGATGTATCCTACCAGCCATTCCATGAGGAAAAGATGTGGTAATTTTAGTCTGTCAACATCTATACCTTTGGAAAGTCTATGGAGGAAAGTTCTATTCTTTTCTACAGAGTAAATATGAATCACAACAATCTCAATGCCAAATAGTATGGTTTTCTTAGAGATTTTACTAACGTAATAAAACCAAGTGCCATCAAGATAGCTCTAACTCACAGTAAACCAGTGCACAAGAGAATGAATGGCTCAGTCATGTGCGATCTTCAAAACCACAGCTGTGCTTGTAGCCACTACAGTAACTACTGTGTACCAGTTTATCTTTATCTTCTAAGAGAATAATTCACATTTATTTTGCAAATTGAGTTACATTAAAAATTAACACCAGATTTTGATTATCAAGCATATAATTATGAAGATGGCCAGCAATTAGATATGAACATAAATATAATACCCAGAATGCTACATTACTGATTTAAAGAATAAAAAATACCTTCTAATAGAGAAACATAAGATTTTAAAATGTCGTATAAATTAATAAAAACCAGATTATTTACCTTCCTTCATTGACAAGTTCAATAAATGCAAGGCCTGCATTCTTCTGAATAGAATTCTGCCACTCCTAAAAAAAAAGACCAGTTTCTGTAAGCAGATGATTTGTGTTGGTTTTTTTTTTAAAAAAATCACCTTATCAATTTTATGCCTTGGTTCAAAGAACTGTTTTTATTAATCATGCTATATATCCAATAAAGTTTTATGAACATATGAATAGCTGAGAATGAAAAGTACAATATAAGTTAGCAGCAGTCTGATACCACATAAACACATTTATATTTATCTAATTTTAGCCTAGTGCAAGAAGCTGTTCTGCAATCCCAAAGGCATGTAGTTCGAGGCCACAAACTGTTCTGTATAAGGACAGGCAATCTCCTCTGTGCAATTATCTGCCTCACTGGTATACAATAACAACAACTACAACTACAACATCAGTAATATTACATATAAATTTAACTCAAGCAATGGCTCACATAAAAATGTATAAATGAATTGAATAGGACAGAATCTAGTAGGTTTTATTACTAGAAATGGTAAACTCATTCCAGACTTTTATGTTGAATATCATGTATGACACTGAGAAGGATAAATCACAAATTTTTAAAACATCTTTCAATAAGCCTCAGAGACATCATGAAATCTGTAAAATGTTGATATTTGCAAACATTTAATAAAGCATAAAAGCTAAGTAAACGTTCTACTGAGTAAAGACTGTAAATTAATAAATACAATTATAGAAAGAAACTTAGGTTATCAGAAGTAACAGACACTGCGTACTAGTGGATAAACATTCAAACAGACAAATAAATACCCATAGATGAATGTGAATATAACCACACACACATATATTTCACATATCATATTTCTACACATACATCCATATGTACTATAAAAAGATTTATGCATCTAGTAAAGAAAAAAGAAGACAAAATTATGAAAATGCATTCATAACCAAATACATTGAAGAAGAAGTATCTAGTCAAGGAACTCTGGAGAATAGTTACAGAAGACAGCAAAAAGACCAACTGGCTTAATGTGGATATCACAATGTTCCACAGTCTGCTTTGGTGACTAGAACCTTAAACTATGAGAAAACCATATAAGGAACAACCACCAGACTCTCTTCACGTGCAGAAAAGAACAGCAAAGAATATAAAAAGTCATTACTGCAAAGTTATAATGGACAACATGAAATTTTAACTGAATGACCTGGACCTGAAGAACTAGACGATGGGTTTTCAGAGGCAGTTAACCAGTTGGGAGGAGATTGCCCATCAAAACAATGGAAGGGCATAAATTTTAAGTAACTTTTTATTTCATTTCATTCAAGTATAGAAATGAGTTTTACTCATACTGGAAAAAGGAAGTATGTCATTTAAATATCACAGAGATTTAAAAACTACTTGACTTACAATGAAAATTAGCTATAAAAATGTTAACCATACAAAGTTTTTTTAAAAAACAAACTTAGATAAAGTAAAACTTTTGTTATCAGGATTTAAATTTAACATGTGTGGTGACAAAGGTCTGTTGTTCAAAATGTCTTTGGTGCCCACAGATTGAATTTGGCTGTGAAACATATGGGTGGGACATGCGAATGGGGTGTGTTGATCTATTCACAAGGGGACTGGCTAGTTTCACCATTAAGTGGAGTAGATTCAGGAGCAGAAATTGAGAATCTCAACACCAACAAAGAGGAAGTAGAGAAAGCAGTGTGCACTCTTTGTGGCCATAGATTCTTTTGTTTTGGTTTGGTTTTGGTTTTAGTTTTGTTTGTGTGTGTGTGTGTGTGTGTGTGTGTGGCCATAGATTCTTATGCATGCTGGACCTAAGAAGAGCAGCATCTGGGGAGCTCTGGTGGCCTAGTGGCAAGAAGCTGCACTGCAATCCCAAAGGTATGCGGTTCGAATCCACCAGATGCTCTGCCAGGGAAGGAGGGGCAATCTCCTCCTGTACCAGTCAGATCTGATTTGACGGTACACGCACACAAAAATAATAAAATAAAATAAAAAATATTTTTAAAAAAAGAAGAAGAGCAGCACCTTCCACAGTGGGAAACTAGAAACTAGCGTGTGGCAGAGCTTACCTGAGACTGCTACCTTACAGAACCAGAGTTAGGGACCTTTGAGTTAGGTGGCAGGAGAACTTAGGGAGACACACTGTAATTGGTGGACTAAGAGATCTCCGAAACACTAGCCTAAAGCCCTAAGGCTGAAGTGCCTGAGAACACACTTAGAAAGATGTCTTGGCTGAGAAACTGCATTTTGTTGCCAACATGTATTGTTACCTTTTAACTTCCCTAATAAACCTCATTCTCATGAGTATGGTTTTATATTCACACAGCTACTGCAACAAAGTTCTGTCCAACCCAGCAGGGAAGGAGGACTGATGCCGGAATTAGTAGAAATAGGTATGAGAGTAACATGACTGGCCTAAAAGGAATTTGTTTTTTGTTTGTGGATGCAGTTGATGGGGTTGATAGGGTGAAGAGATATCAGACTCAACTATTACCATGTTGCTTTTGCTTCTCTTTCAGCATATGACACAAAATAATATTTTTTAAAAATTAAATTCAAAGTAGATAAAATGAGGTTCACATTTTTATTATTCTTGACTGCTATTAAAAAAATTCTCATTATACCTAAAAAGATCTTTAAATTTTAAGTTTTCATTTGTTAATACTCTATTCCTATTTTTAATATTGTATGCCATAGATTTATTGTTCAAAATGGCTTTCCTTGACAATGGCTTTGACTTTCAACATAAAGAGGGGCAATAATTTGAAATAAGATGTGTATAAACCAATCATCATGGGATTGATCTGTTTCCCACCCCATCATTTTTAAACAGAACAGCATAAGTGGAAATCTTAATAGAAATGTGGATAAAGAAGCAGAGAGTGTAACAGACAAGGTCTTACATAAGAGCAGTAGCAGCCTCAGTGGAGAATCAGAGACTGACATAGACAGAGTTGACCTGAGACTACTGTCTCACAGAGCCAAAGGACTTCATCCAAGCTTACTAGAAGACTTAGGGGGAAAACCATAAGTTCAAAACCAAGAGAACTTTGTAACAATGTCCAAAGTCACCAAGCTGAAATTGAAGAGCCTACTAATACACCTGAGAAGTTGTCTTGTCTGAGGAACGGTATCCTATTTCCAACCTGAATTGCAACCTGTTAACTTGCCTAATAAACCTGAAAACCATGACTCTAGTTCTGTGAGATTTTTGTGGCAACTGCAATAGCTATCAGACACACTAGTAGAACCATACTAGACTATGAATTTGGTGCAGATGAGGGAAAGGTTCAGATCTGTTGTTCATAGAGTTGCTATGAGACATAGTTGAGTAGACGGCATCTAATAGCAGTAACAGTAGAGCCATAAGATTGATGTTGGGATTAGTAGAATTGTGGAGGTAAAGCTAAAACATAAAGGAATTGTCTTTGTATTGTGGATGTAGCTGTTAGAGATTGTTCCACTTTGTGAAGTTAACAAAGGTCAAGAAAGGGCCATCACCATTTTTACTCTTAAAAAATGTATTATTAAATACAAAGATTGGCTCAGGATAGAGCAGAGTTCAACGCTATTATGCATAGGGTCACTGTAAGTCGCAGGCAAATTGACAGCACATTACATAATCATAACATGACTATAATTTTTGCACTTTAATAAGAATTCATAAGTAAATTAAAAATATGATCTCCATGGCAATAAACAATTTCAATTTCTCATTGTCAGTTCTATGCTGTTATTTAAAATGGATACATTCTCTACATTTTATTAAGAAAGGGAAAATCTTTGTACAAATTGCCTGAAAAACTGAAGAAAAAAAATTCATTAATGACAATATCCAAGAGCATTTTTCTCCACTTCAGAGACAATCATCAAAGAAGGCGTTAGTCTAAACAATTTCATAAACCACAGTTCAATACAGACTTTAGTGAGTTTTAATAGTTGAAAGAAAAGCTTAATGGTCATCATCTTCCATGATCATTTCAATATTTCATCACAGTATTTACAATTATATAGTGATGCAAAATATGTAGTACATTGAAAGGTCTTGGTTATCCTTTTCCCAAAGGTAATGATAAAAAAACACGTTAAAAGCCTCAAATTCAACCGCTAATGCAACTAAGTAATTTCAAAACACATTTCAGCACTTTAGAGAGGAAGGACTAAAACAAAACAACACAGTCAATAATTTCATGCCTGTTCTAAGCTGTATTTAATTGACTATCACTTCCTCAGGCTATAATTGTTGACAAGTCAATTTTTACAAAAATATACTCTATGTTTATTACTTCTTTTAAGTCACAAAACACCAAATATATATATTTGTGCAGTATATAAAATGAGAGGTATTATATATTTATGCAAAATTACCACTGTGAAAAGGAATTTGAAATATATGCTTCTAGTATTAAATATCATCTTTAATTACATGGAAAAATAAAAAATAATACCATAGCTGTAGCTATCCTTTCCTATCTCCAACAAATGAATAAGTACTAATACTCAAAATAATATTAAAAATTAATGCCTGTGTATTCACTAATCTCATCATAAATTCCTAAGAAAATCCTAATTTTCTCAAAAGTAAACTTTATACTTTATATAATAACCTAAAACACAGTATGATTATTAACCACACTGTATGAATTTTACCTAATTCTAAAACAAAATCAAAGCTTCTACAAGGAAGTCTATTCTGACTCACCAACACACTCTATCAGGGAATAATAGACAAATGAGAAATACTAGTATACATAAAATTAAAGGCAAAAACGAGGAAAACTTCATGGTAAAGATAAAGTAATCTTAAATTCTCATGGTAAATTATCAAGAACTTTTCAACAAGGTTTATGGTTTATGTCAGTACTCTCAACACTATCTGTTTAACACAAACTCTGTAGCCACGAGTAATAAAAAAAAGCATAATAATAATGTGTTTAACCTATAATCTCCTTAGACAGTAAAAGAAGACATTCTTTGAAAAAGCACTATATATATATGCCTTTGTAAAGTTTTTGTTTTATTTACTCTTGATTATATTCATATAACATGT